CATGGCCACGCGAATATATAGCCTCTGCCACAGAAGTCCTACTCACTGCCTTCTCGTGGCGGGGGTGTTGTTTACGAAAGTGAGAGGACGAAAAGCGAATGTCCGGCGCCTTAACAGGGTTGGTGGACATGGAAAGTTCACCTAGGGGAGTTGGAAAACCCTGATTCCAAACCAGTGGTGCACATGGGCTCCAGTATCCTGATGGAACAAATAGCGAATGAACCTGTTGTTGGTCACCGGCTACCATGGGACTGCATCTCCTCACGATGCTCCACTGCCTTGTGGATCAGACCTTTAGGTCAAAGGCTCGGAGTGTGGCCCCCTAAGCAAACCACCTGCTTCGGTTAGGGCACCCAGCAGTATCACAGCCCACACACAAATGACATGAAATGACGCACTACACTAACTACACTGCTCTCGTTCCTAATAGAAGAAAGACAATTTACATTATAATTATTACCACTATTATTATTACTATTATTTACTACGTCGCTTTTTCACTCCCTTTATTCCCAAATTGTGTATCCTTCCTTTCCAACTTATGCAGTAGCTCGCCCATGGTGGAAACTCTGTCCTATCTAAACGATCTCCAATTACTGTCTGGTTGAAAGTGAATGCTTTCACCGATTATGAATACTGAAGCAGTCTTTCTGAAACCACGTACGCCGTTCAAGCTGGCTTCCTTCAACGTTCGCACACTAATGCAGATCAGATAACAGATGGGGCTGACTATGTCTTTAGAAAGTCTTAATGTTGATGTTTGCTGTCTATCCGAGACCCGTATTCAATACTCTAGTGAAGTACTACAAATTCGCTCTCCATCTGTCGCTTCGAAAAGCTTGTTTCACGTGCGCTTATCCGGGGACTCTGTGGCATCTTCGTCTGGTCTTACAGGCGTTGGGGTTGCACTAAGCGCTAGGGCTGAGGCAGCACTAATCGATTGGATCCCCATTAACAGTCGGTTATGTGCTGTTAGCTTAGAAAGTTCCATCAAAGTGAGAAGAAACCAGCGTGAGAAACGGTATCTGTTCGTCATCTTCGCGTATGCCCCGACAGATTGCAGCTCGGATGCAATCAAGTATGAGTTCTACCACCAGTTAACTGTTCTTCTCCAGAAAGCGCGTGCGGCTTCGCGAAACGTCCCGCTTACAAGCACTGGGTTTCTTCTGGCTCCTTACAACTGATCGAAGCCCGTCGGTCTACTCCGGGTGACCGTGAGTTTGACCACAAATGAAGGCTGTTACGTAATGAAATTGGGCAAAGCTTGCGTAAGGACCGAGAAGCCTGGTGGTCGAAGCGTGATAATGAGATGGAAGCAGCAGCTGCATCTGGTAACTGCCGGAAGCCCTTCCAACTCATCCGAGCCACTGGCAGAAAGAAGTCTGATGTGAGTGAAACAATATACGAGGTTGATGGGATGCCAATCACTAACATCTCTCGACGTCTTGGACGATGGGCGGAATTTTTCGAAGGGCAGTTCAACTGGCCTGCTGCTCCGGCAACATCAACCAGTTTGTCCTGCCCCCCATGGCCGGTGACGACTGATCCACCAAACGAGGCGGAAGTCACCAAGGAACTCCAACTCTTGAAGCGCTACAAATCACCGGGCTCAGATGACCTACCTCCGGCTCTTTTTAAAGATGATGGTGACTTTCTAGTTAAGGAACTGACGGTGTTGCTTGCAAAGGTTTGGGAGCAAGAAAGTGTTCCAACATCATGGAATGAGTCAATAGTCGTCCCTATCTTTAAAAAGGTTCACGTTGTTCCCGTGGCAACTATCACGGGATAAGTCTACTTCCGATTGCGTTCAAACCATTGGCTTCTGTCATTCTTCGTAGGTTGTTTAAAACCCGAGAACGATTGACTCGCAAGGAGCAGGCTGGTTTTCGTTCTGGTCGACGATGCATTGATCACATCTTCACCCTCCGCCAAATGTTAGAACACCGTCATACTTATCGCAGGCCAACAATCGTAGTGTTTCTTGATATCAGGGCTGCCTTCGATTCGTTGGACAGGACTGTTCTCTGGGATTGTCTATTGAAGAAGGGTGTGTCTGAGAGGTTTATTAACATCTTAAAAGCTCTATATGCAAACACTTTATGCAGAGTGAGGGCACACAACCACCTTTCTCCCTTGTTCCATTCAAGCAGTGGGGTTGCCCAATCTCACCATTCCTCTTCAACTTTGCCACCGATGACATTCTGGAAACAGCTCTGATGGATCTAAGTAATGGCGGTGTGATTCTGCTACCTGGAGAAAGACTTCTCGACCTTGAATATGCGGATGATATTGTCCTACTGTGCGATAATGCCCAAGCCATGCAATCCACACTTAATCGGTTGACAGTGTCTCCAGGTACGGTATGTGCTCTGCGCCTTCGAAGTGCAAAGTACCTCTACAAGACTGGCAGGATTCTCATCCTGTACTCACTCTAGATGGTGGGCAGAGAGAAGTAGTTGAGAAGTTCGTGTATCTATGTAGCTACATAAGTGCTGGTGGTGGCGTGAGTGATGAGACTGATGCACGTATAATGAAAGCCAGAGCGGCTTATGTCAATCTGGGCCACCTTTCGCGCCTTCGTGATGTTAGTCTGACTGTAAAACGTCGGATCTACAACGCGTCGGTGAGAGCAGTTTTGCTTTATGCTTGTGAAACCTTGCCTCTCCGAATTGAGGATATTAGACGTCTCCCTGTGTTCGATCATCGTTGTCTCCGAAGGATTGCTGACATCCAGTGGCAACACCATGTTAGTAATGCAAAAGTTCGGCATCGTGTGCTCGGGCGCAGAGACGATAATTCAATTGGTGTCACCATCTCGAAACACCGACTTCGGTGCATTATTTACCGACGCTGGGACTGGTTGGAGAAAGCAGAGGTGGTCAGTGTATGACATGGTGTCGTGGCATGAAAGAAAGCTGCAAAGGGCTGGCTTATGTCGGTCCTTCACGACTCCCTGGCTGGGGTCCGAGAGATGGTGCAACACAGTGGCTAGAGACGTTATCAGATATGGCTCAGAATAGAAGCCAGTGGCGAACATGCTGTAACCTTCTTTTACTTTCTACATAAAGAGTGGTTCTAACTTTCTTAACTGAAAGAGTCTTCTGGTTGTACATTTTAGTCCGCCTTATCTTTTCATCCCTTCTCATCTTACTTTCATTATCTTGTGTGGCGCATATGTACCTGGTGCCCTTTTGTACCAATATATATGTGTTTAAATAAATAAATAATAAATAAATTAGGAAAACAACTAAATTATATAGAGAAATAAAACCAAAATAACTGATGTCGCGGTATACAGTTAGCTGAAACTGAAGTCACCCCTACCATTCATGCATCGGCAGCTTGAATTACACAAACTGAACACACGGATGAGGCTAACTAATCAATGATGAGTTCTTGCCACAAACTGGCCCTATGTTTAGCTAACAAACTAGAACCAATCCGTAACGAAATACCCGTATAAAATGTTAGGGACTTTTCCGAACTTGCAGAAGTAAATACAACATATATACTGACGGTTTCAAATTTTACCAATGTTCTTTTAGAATAAACAACTGACACCGTTAGCCAGTACTCACAACTTATGTCTACACCATAAACACATTTCAAATATTTAGTGAGGATGTACTAGGAATTTTCAGCCCTAGTTTGACAAATTATGCTGCAAAAGCAGATGACGTGGTGATGGATAGTACTTGTTGACAAATTTATTTGAAATTTTAGAAGAACAAAACCACTACATGTAATTAACGAGACTGCACTTGATGTAAGGTATGTTGATTATATTTGTCTCGTGTAATGACGTATATCATGCAGATAAACTATTTAAATATTTTAATGAGGTTAATCCCAATGCTAAATTCACAATGGAACACAAAGGAAATGACACGTTCCACTATCTCAACTTAGATATTTCCGGAAAACAGGATGGGACCTGTCAAAGGTATGTACATCGTAAGGAAACCTGGAGTAAACAAACAAACTTTCACAGCTTCCACCCTACTGGCTATAAATGAGTCGGTAATAACGCTCTACCAAAGAGCCAAAAAGTTAATTTAACCAAAGGAGTACATTATAAAAAAAGACAGAAGAATGCAAACCTGAAAAGAAGTGATCAAATGAACGAAATTAATCAGTGACTAAAAGCAGCCCTACAAATAATATCACCTGCAAAGTTGACACGAATATATACAACACTGTGCTTGTTAACACGAACAAGTGTATATCCGATGTTATCTCCAGATACATATATCAATTTACATGTACATCCAAAAGCGTGCACATCGGAAGGACAAAAAGACGGGTGTCTATTTGTTGTAATGAACATGTCCCAAGAAACCCACGCGTTCAAGTTGAAGTTTATTGACAAGGTTCAATAAAATCCCACCTGCTAGGCACGGGGCATAATATGTGTCCAGCAGACTCATTCAAATTTATAAATAAGCGGTTCAATTTCACGTTACTAACATTTACAGAAGCCATAGCAATCAGAAATTTTAAAGCTGACTTTTGTATTCAAAAGAAGCTAGAAGTTAACCTTCAAATGGCTTGGTAACATTGTATTCTCTTTTTTTTCAACTGAATGTAATCATAAATTAGCGAGTTGATCTTACACACCAACTTTACCTTTCTAAACTTCTAAAACCTGTTGCTGTTTTGACTAATAAATTAATCTTAACATTCTAAAATTATTACTTTAATTAATTATAGAATTTTTCGAACATTTAGTTCTTATTTTCATCCAAATTACATACAACTTATTGACAAATAAATTTAACATTACCTTAAAAATTGGAAATAGCTGAAACTATTAAGAACGAAATACAATAAATTCATTGTATTTTGCAAATATTCTTGTCATTGCTCTATTTAAATGTACGATTTAACTAAGGGACATTTTTGTGCACACAGATACCTTATTATGAATCAATTTAGTTTGATATTAAGTTATGTAAAAAAAGCATTCAATCCAGTATCATCAAAGTAAGTGAGAAAAAGACTTACATAGGTATCATTTATTTTTCTTATTTTTAGCAACAGATATTAGACGAGAGAATGAACTTAACCAGTTTTTTATATTTATACATTTTCAGTTAGCTGTAATATAAAAATAAAAATCTAAGACGTGCGAAGAGTCCAACAGAAGCACATCAATTTAATCACTATCTGTACAAAATAGGCATTCGGAAATAGTACATTAATAAAAAAATAGTTTTATTTTGGTAACACTATTTTACAGAGGCGAGCAAGGAGACCTGCTAATTGTAGGTATGTACCTAGCCCTTCGGAAATCCGTAAATGAGTGAGGCCAACTTCCTGTAAAAAAGCAAATAACAATAAGTTTAAATAAATGATTAAGGAAGATCATAGTTTACGTAGGTTTTCCAAAAACCTAACTTGGTAAATGTATGTTCCAATACCGTACTTCAACTTTAAATGTAAACAAGCTGTACAAAAAGATACGAAATTGAAGTTACCCAGAGTAAAATCATACATTTCGATGCTTTATTATCCACAATTAAATGACACATCACAGACGGAAATTTGACGACGATTTATGTATCTTCATTCGAAACTCAACTTTTTGTCATTTTAGTTTCGAACACCAAATAGTATCGAGTTCACGTTCGTACACTAACTACCGTTGTCTCTTTGTACTATTAAACATACACAGACTGCATGTTATTACTGAGTTGTTTGTTCAAGTTTCTCTTTGTTATTCTCTCCTCAGAATTAAAGTGATGGATGAGGAGACTGCCACTACTACATTTACTCACACTTAAGCTCACAATTATCAATGATTGGAGGTTACTTCATCGAAATTTTATAAATTCATATCATCTTGATTTTTCTCACAACAAATTCCGGATTTTCTGTTGATTTTTAAATTTATTAGCCTTTTTTATAAATGCATACCGTTCAAAATAAATAAGGACTGGAAAGAAACAATTTTTGTTTTCTGGAAAAGTCATATTATACATTAGTCACGAAATCTACGGATAAAAAAGGTTCTGGCTTCTGGTTCGATCGGTTTTATTTATTTATTTATTTAAACACATAAATATTGGTACAAGGAAGCACCAGATAAATATGCGCCTTACAAATCTCATTCGATTTGCGTGAGGGCTGAGATACTGCCCAGGTGCCCAGACTGAAGCAGGTGGTTTTCTTAGGGGGCCACACTCCGAGCCTTTGACCTAAAGGTCTGATCCACAAGGCAGTGGAGCATCGTGAGGAGATGCAGTCCCATGGTAGCTGGTGATCAACGGTTGATTCGTACGCCATTTGTTCCCTCAGGATACTGGAGCCCATGTGCACCACTGGTTTGGAATCAGGGTTTTCCAACTCCCCTAGGTGAACTTTCCATGTCCACCAACCCTGTTAAGGCGCCGGACATTCGCTTTTCGTCCTCTCACTTTCGTAAACAACACCCCTGCCACGAGAAGGCAGTGAGTAGGACTTCTGTGGCAGAGGCTATATATTCGCATGGCCATGTGAGAGCATTTCGAGAGGGAGAGTGGACTCTCCCCACTCTCGGCCGTACCAGGGCATTTGGGGGTATTACTATTGTGCTTCATGAAGAAATGCACAAACGAGAAAACGAACGTATAACATTTACAAGATTGTTCACCTGAAGGAAAAATGTTTGATTGCACATCAGTATATGAAAGCGGAAAGACTATGATAACCTACTTTTATAAATCCCAATTTGAGATACTCTTCCATTGGATTATTCTTTATTACTCGAAAAGTGATGGTGATAATATCTTCAGCTGAATACCCCAAAGTCCATAAATGACGCAAGATCTTGTGAGCAGCTGACAATTCACCCTTAGAACAATGGTCGATCAACTGTTTAATAAGCATTGGGTGAGGTTCATCACAAACCTTTCATATGAAGATCAAAATGAGTTCAATAATTATTACCATAAAATAATGATTTTAATAAGTCTATAGATTATTATGACATCAATGAGTAGAATATTAAGCATTTACTAGTTGGTATGATTATCTGAATAGAAAGAAATATCATGCCCCACCCGGTCCCACACTCATAATAGTTTATGTGAATTACTTTACAAAAAAAAGATGCTTGGATTTATCTATTCGACTGCTTTGTTATTTGACAAGACATAGGAATTGTGTTTGATTACTGTTATTAGGTATAGTTGTGTTCCCAATAACCTCATTTCTAAATAGTCAAACGCATGATCTCTTAACATACAAGCAAAGAGTGTACTATAACTTGAGAAACATTTTGGGGTTTAAAGGATTTTAGTGATTAAAGACTCACTTATTTTTGTGTCGGTGACTGCAAACACTCATGAATACGATGGACAAAGCATCACGTTATTTGACTGCTAATGTATGTTGGCGGAAAAGGAATATTAGGTAGTTCAGTAGTAAGGTAGTTCAGGAGGCAATCTTACTTTGGTTTCGAAAGGTTGACAGGGGTTTATAAATTATAGTTTACACTAATAAGGGCGAGCATTTGACTGATTATTAAATGTTGTGATGAAAAATGAAATTTAGTAAAAACTAGCACATTAAATATTCAGAACTACTTTGCTTCGGAGTTCAAACAATTGACATTTCGAAACTTTACTGTGACCTGGGAAAGTATACAGTGTTCCAAGCTTGTACTAAATATGCGATATGGAGCTGGGTACAGGAATCTAGTGAGTTACGTTACAATTTAAACCAATCTGTATTTAAGTTCCGCTGTATCTCTGTGAATTTGAACGAGAAAAATGATCAGTTGGTGAATTTTTCACCAATGATCAGTGTGCAAATTATTACTTTCTAGTATCTTTTCAGAGTTCCTACAGGTGTTTTATTTGACGCTGGGTGTCGAGATTTTCGCAGATTATATTAAAACTTTCGCGTCATGATTCAGCAGTTTAAAAGCCTTTTATTTTTAAGTAGTAGGCTCACTCAGGTTTCTTATTAAACTTATTAATATCCAAAGGTCAACTTATTTTGATGGTAATTCCAATGGTCTAGAAAAGTTTCTTTCTGGAATATTACTTTTTATCGTAATTTAATTCTATTTATTTTACTATTGTACCATTAACGCTAAACTGTTCATAAACGAACAGAGAAATATATATATATATATATATATATATATATATATATATATATGCTGCGCAATAAACTCGTCTTCCAGTTGGCAGACATTAAACGAGTTTTATGAATTCCTGCCAATATTTCGTTAGACACCATCTCATCAGGGCTGATGAGACTTCCAAACTAAGTGAAGTGATCAATGCACTAAACTATTTCACTCTACTATCATTTGCGGCCTAAAGCAAAATTTCGCATTTCGAGCAGGAGAAACGCATCTCAAGAACATTATTAATGTTACTTAAGATGGTCATAAGATTCAGAATTTTCCAAGCGTCTTCATCGAACAGAACATCATTTGCGTATGCTACGTGAAATGTACACTGGTTTACATTCAATTGCTCGATTACATAGTCACTTCATGAGATTGCTTAGGAAATTCATATTGTAAAAAGTAAACATTATACTCACAGAAAAATACAAACAGTACTTACTTTAAAGACGTTATCGCTACTGACCATCCCAAAGCCTTCATGAGTTGATTGTAGATTATTTAGAGCCTATTATAACCGTTTAAAAAAGTTTACATAGAAATTTAGCAAAGAAGAAACCTTATAAAACTCGTTTAATGAAATTAAGCGTATCATCAAGTTTAATATTTTAAATGTTCTTTTTACAACAAGGGATTCGAGTTATAATGAATATTATCGGTAAGTTTTATCTTGAGAAGCACGACAACCGTAAGATGTAGTAAACATTATTGAAAAGCTAAAAAAACATTTGATAACAGCCACCCGTTTTATATCACAAGATCACTTAGCAGGGATAAGTCTAGTTAAATTGGGCTTTCAATCCACGTGCCACAACAAATAATAGCCAAGGACTCTGAAATGATCACTTTACAGAAACCTTCGGGGAATGTTGTACTGATTACGAACTTGAAGTATTTTGATCAGTTAGCTGTCACCATACTAGCTGACGGAGTAGAGGTCTGAAAGAAACTTCAAGTACCATAAAACCTAATCACCTTTTGAAAAGAGATGCATATATGTAACGAACTCATGAGAATGAGGTCACCAAAACATGACTGGTAACTCTCCTTCCGGCAACATAAATTTGGTTTAAATCTTTACATAATAGTGGCTTCAACTAAGTGTAATAAATTTGAAGTCCTTTACTAACCATTATTATGATCCTCGAAGCATTTATGATAATTATATATTTCATCCTTATTATTTGGGCTTTACTCAGCTACCCAATCTTTTTAAGTATGGTGTAAACTACGACGTAAATCTTCAATTTCTATACATTCTATTTCCATGTATCTTTCAGCTTTCTTCTAGAGTACTTATAAACTTAGCCTATAATCAAACAACTGTTTGAGCAACTAATTGATTCACATAAAATTGTCATTTATTAACCTACATCTGGATGTCGAACCCAACTTGAATCAACACAATATTCATACTTGGTTTTCTCTTAATGGTTAGTTCTATTTTCTCAAGGTCGTAAGCAGATGAACAGAATTCATGTGGTACGTGGATTTATATCATTCAACTGAGACCTTCATTCTTACCTTATTCAGATTTATGATAGAATATTTCATTTTCCTCACTTATGTTATAAGAAACAAGACAAACTTTACCTGTCTCATGTCACCGTCCGCTGTGAACACAATGGCTTCCAAACCTTCTTCTGTATATGAAACACCTTCGAAACGCGAAACTTCTAGTAATCTAGCCATTACTTGGGCAGACGTTAAACGAGCATAACGTAAAACAGCACATCTTGATTGTATTGGTTCGATGAGCTTTGAGGAATCATTACAAGCCAATGCAAAACGAGTTGTTCGAGAGTATAACTCCATGATCCGTCGAAGTGCCTGTTGAGCACCTTCAGTCATGCTTACGCACAAAATAAGAAAAGTATACGTAGAGGCAGTAATAATTTAACGTCGTAAGAATTTATAAGAGCGTAATAAGCGCAATTAGGATTCTGGTAACCTTAAAACTAACAAACAAGCAACCAAATACTGATATACTGGGATGTAGTGGATTTATTTCATGGCATATTATGAAACTGGGAAGCAAGATTTCGGATAAAGATTTAAGGTCATCAAACTGGAACTAGTTTTCCGCGAAAGAGAAACACAAAATTCAAAAACACTGGGAAATTACTTTGCATTTCGAAAGGATTTTTTCAGTTTATGAACTTCAATTCGGTAATAAGCAACGTAGGAACTTGTTGTCGAATATCCTCAAAATGATTTCTAATGTTTTGAATATTACTTATCCTTATAATTATGATTAGATAACTTGAAACAGTGAAAAACCTTTAGAAGACAACATGGAACGTTAACTACAGTTTGTTATTGTACACCGCAGATCACTAAGCACAAGCACACAAAGGGAATAATAGAAATATGTATGCAGACGAATACCAGGGAGCGAGTGAATATGATTTAAGACCCATATATATGTAGGAAAGTGAGTCATAGGGCGATTTTAGCAACTAATTTTTGAGCTGGTAGAAGGAGCACATAAGTAGATTGTGACGTGATCATACATGCTCAAACAGAAATGGTGATAATACAAAGATATAGACAAATTTTTATTGACGAAATGAAAAATTAAATGGAGAGTTTAACAATGCTAAATGTATTCAGACATATTTGTAGATGAGATGCTACATACTGAAATAGGTGGACCACACTTTAAGCTGCCTGGTTTTACGTATGTTTATTTTGCAGCTTAGAACTACCGATTTACTTCACTTTCACTAGCACAACGTGCACTTGATATATTCAGAATTATGAATCGGGAAAAATAAAGTGATCCGTATTTAAACGACGCATCACAGTTGATAAAAACACTTCACTGTTTGCTTGTATACTTGTTAGGTGAAGAGCTTTGGACTCACAAGATTGTTTAACAGTTCAGTATTACAAACTATTCGTTATGAACGGGCTATCTGATGGGTCTGTATTACTATTAAATACGAAAAAGTAGTCAACGTAACAAAGAAAACACAATAGGTTTAGGTAGTCACCACCAATAATACGGGACTAAAGCTTCAATGCATGCAGTCTTATATAGAATAAACAACTAACCTGTCGGCTTCATCGAGGATAATTATCTTTTGCCTTCCTTCGGGAAGACTGACCTTTTTCTGAGCGAACATTTTGATTTTAGTTCTTACTACTTCGATACCCCTTTCGTTCGATGCATTTAACTCAAGGACCGCTTCTTTATAAGCACTCTTCAGCAGAGTACGAGCCAAGCATAAGATACTTGTGGTTTTTCCACAACCTGGAGGACCCTACGGAAAGTTTAGCAAGAAATAAAAAAAACAGATTACAGCTATTATGATGTTCGGTAAGTTGCCGTCACGAGCAAAAACGGATAGACGACAAATAGTATTCTCATTCCCCACGATATCTTTTAATTCAATGGGTCTATATTTTTCGACCCAAGGCGATTCCATCGCCTTTCTAGCAACTTGTAAGTCAGATGTCAAATCGACTGGAGACGAAACCATAGGTGTTGAAATTGCCACGACCTTAAGTCAGCTAAGCAATCAGTGTATAAAAACAATAGTACAAGCTCCTAACTGTAGACGAGAAAGACTAAAGTCAGATGGACTCTGGAGCCCGTGTAACAACTAAAAAGAGGACTTTTTGATATTGATAGGCATGAACTCTCTTTTAGAGGTAAATAAATTCCCAAAATCAATAGATCTGTAAGTCTTCGACATTTGGTGTTGATCATATTACTTTTAATGAAATCACCTGGCTGAAGGCTTTCAGTCATGTATTTGCACAAGATCATGAGTGAATACGCTGTGCTCAAATTCTCCTACAACTGCTGTCCAGCTTGGATTGATCACTATTCGACCTATCGATGGCCTGTGTAATATATCTTCGAACCCCTTCGCTTCTGACTTCTTGTTTCACTGGGTTGAGACGTTTCGATTATAGAAGGTGTTACTGGTTACAATGGTGTCAAACTCCAAATACTTGTAGCATCTTTATTTTTAATGGCTATACATGAAACTAAAAAACATTCAAATGGTTGAAATAATGTCGAATGGAATGGAAGATTTCTCTTATAAGGCTTTCGTATTTGAAAGCAGTGGATCTACGATACCTCCAGGTAGGAACCTGGGTATGTGTAACGACAAAAAGAGAAATATCAGCAAATTATAGCAAAATATTGTCTAAAGTCCTTAACAATATGTCAAGTCTTCTCTTCAAGGACTCCTGAAAGGTCGCTTGAATACCTCAGCTGGTAGAAAATATCAAAATTTGACTACATTTAAAAGGTAAATAAAGAGTCTACAGTCCGTTCTGCTATGTTACGTCTCCAGTTAATGGGTGCGACACCCAAGTTTCGTGTTGGGACTGAACTTAAGTAAGTGTTTGGGGTGGTGGTCGTGAGTAATTGGGGTGTCTAAGGTCACTAGGTCACCTCCGAGACGCCAATTTTCTGCTGGGTAGAGACCTAGTGATTTCAGGCATTTTCCGTAACCTGTGAATTCAGGCTCGTGAATTGATTTTATGGCTTGCTGTAGGATTTGTCACAACGTAATCTTACCCTTTTGGATAAAATTCCACTCTCAAACCTGTTAGAATGAAACTAATAAGAATTAGGTGGAAAGTTCCACTGGTAAACCAGCTAAACGTGGGCCTCGACGTTACCAGTGCAAGGTTTACTCGAAAGGCATTTTTGTAGCAATTAGCTTAGGACTTTAGGCCATAAAGTATCAACACTCTTAGATTTTCCCCTACATGGAATACCTCACAAATGGAATAACTTCAGTTGTACGAGTTTTCAACATATCTCAGATGGACTACCCTACACTTTAAAGAGTTAAGATAAGTCCGTCGATATCTACTCAACTTTGTAGTTGAATCAGATCCTCCTGAATTTCTAGCTAATAATCTCTGTTGCAAACTTCTCTTCAAAGTTTCATATCGTCAGCAAAAGGTAATAAACCAGAAAATTATTTCTGAGGAAGGTCATTCTTATAGATTATGAAAAGAACGAGTCATATTACTAACCCCTAAGGGGCATATTGTAGCCTAAGAACTAAAGTTCACGCTGACTCTAAGTTGATCGTTTAGATATTAAGTCAATCTGCTAACGGTGATATGATACCTAACAGTTTGAGCCTATTGATGAGACACGTATGATTTACCCTATTGAAAGCTTCTGAGAAGTCGAGGTATTTGACGTCAGCCTTCCCTTCGAGATCAAGGGTGGTTTCCCACTTTTTCACCGCAGTCATAAGGTTGGTTGTATATTAGTGAACGTTCATAAAACCGTTCTGTTGTCAGAAAAGAAGATTGTGGATAACAAGTAATCGTGTGGTCTACAGCACATTAGGGACTTCGCAACTTTTTGTATCATTGAGAGAAAAGCTTCATGCCGGTAGGTTGAAGGTTCGCTGCGTCGACCTCATTTGAAAAGTAGTGTGATGTGGCAGTTAAAATGTTCAAAAATAATGTTCTGCCAGAATCTCGGCATCGTCGCGGTTGATACTAGTAGGGCCATTAGGACCTAACGGACGGGAAGCTCCAAATTTGGCTTGTTGAATACTGGATGATACCCCTAGCATACGATCGTCGTATTCGGTTTCCGCAGTGAATTTTCTTTACTTGACCTCAAATAAACATATCTAGGTGTTAGATAGTTTTACTTAGTACCATACAAATTGAACAAGGATGATACACTTTCGGGTATGCACTTAATATGTTGCCAAAAAAGGTTTGCGCATGAATGCTCCACTCGCATCCTTGTTCTACTATCGTTACGGAACAAAGACATGCACAGTATTGCCTGCTTGTCGTCTGTAATTCGAGGCGCCCATATTTGTATATCCTTACCATAGGTGCACTAATAGCAGCACTCTGTACGATGACAGTCTAGTTATTAGTACGGCTCTGATAATATACCAAATCCTAAGATTTTAGATTTGTCATGATACAGCTGCCTAATCTATAAGATTTTACGTCAATGTCACATCATTGCCTACAATGACTCATCGTATCGTAACAATCACCAATATATGATGGAGAATACATTTAAGCCGGAGACAGGACAATATATTTAATATGAATAAAAAGGATAAGAATGACCACGCCTGCATGGCTGAGTCATGCCTAACGACCTTTTGAATTAATTGAATTACTTCTTCTCGTATTCTCCATTTTTGGGTTTTTCTCCGTGTTAAATGTTGAATATCTATTTTCTCAGTTGCCTACTGTTAAGCTTTGGGGATTATGTGGTTAGGGTGCATTGCCACTACAAATTAGTTCACGCATCTCAACATTATGCTAATTTGAAAGAGCAGCTTATACGGTTTAGTCCCTGCACATTTTCTGTGATGAAACAGATACTGGATCTTATATTTATTAAGATAAATAAGATCTCCCTGATCAACCAATTTGTAAATTAACGTAACAAAGAATGAAACACTCATAAACTTCGCCACTTCACAACAAATGCAACGAAATAGCTCACATGACGCAGAATTTATCGGGATAAGATTAAAGCAGCTTGGGGATTAATTTACGGAGAACATCTCTATGGCAAATTTGTCTGACTACTTCGAAAAGGGATGGATGCTCCAAAATCCCCGAGGCTGTATATAATTAGTCCGCCTTCCTTTCATCAATCATTCTGAAGATGTATGAATTAGTAATTTACTCTTTTAGGCTTAGACGAAAAAGGTTTTTTTATATACTTGAAAAATACCTCCTTCAAACGATTGCCAGAGTTTGTGCAATTATTACTATGATTTGGACGTACTGAAAACTGACAGAGTAAAAGTCCACTAGTGTTATAACGTATAAGTTGAGTGCGTGTCCTGTTTAGTATAAGAATGCCCAATTGAAGAGGAGTGAATTTATTGATGGGAGCAATGATACATAAAATCGTACGAGCAGTCTAGTGGGCGTATCGGCCCTATTTGATATATGAACGTGCTGATTACCGCCAATGAAAGAGCAGTGTATTTATTGATCGCCCAATGATACACAAAATACGTATGAGCAGTCTTGAGTACTACTCGATTTTACAATCTGCATAGCCCAATAAGTTAAGTCCACAACACCAATAACAACCTCGGCAATATGAATCATTACTCACAAACATACTGGGTTTATATACCAACCAAACAGACCACATCGTACCATAAAATAGAAAATACACATTTGTTCAATTATTAGCCAAATGTGGCTGTGAAAAGGGGAAAGTAATCGATAGACTGATGATAATACAAAAGTCGTATAATAATAGATGAAAAGTCAAAAAAAGCTAATGATAAGAGGAACACGAATACGATTAGGTTAGTTATTTAACAACCATACAATAGGAAATATACATATCACATTGGTCCATAAATAGTCTAAAAGTTACCTTTCATAATTCACCAGGGGACATAACAACTAGTAATGGGACGCCCCTATAAGTTTTATATGTAAAAAGTATCTCTGGGAAATATGAGTACGCAGTAAATGAGTTATGTCACAGTTGTTTCATTGATTGTCAATATTCGAGTTGAGATACAATGTTTCCATAACTTTTGTATTCACTACCGAAGGCGGAAGCAACAAACAATTACAGAAGTTCGAAATTTCCTGACAACAGTTTCAAGCCTACACTACTTGCACATAAGGACGATATTTCGGCAGCTGAGAATTATGCGGTGTTGTTTAAAATTGGAATTCGAAGTACTGATAAACGGCATTTTAGTACAAACAATCGGGTCAGTAGCTCCATATCCGCAACTTCACTGACAAATATTCTCGTCCGTCACTAAAGAATGAAATGAACCCAAGTGTTTATTGAGGATTATGAATGGTGTGCAATCAAGAAGATAGTTTAATAGGCTCAAGAGAGTACTTCTACCTTTCATTATAAAGACAAAACCGACGAATGGGATAGATTGTTTATGTAACAGACAAAGTTGGGTTTTTAAGGGTTATCCGATGATCCTTCACTAGACCGAAAACACTATGAATAGAATAGTTATTCATTCTATTATTTATCTATGGATTAAATCTACTTCTCTACACGGAATAATAAACCTTTGTGCAGTTAGAATGTTTTGACCGTACGCTTAAGTCTTTCTGACTTTGCTCGTCTAGTAAGCTAGTAAATGTCAGTTTAATGTGTACCAAGCACTCGATTCAAACGAAAATGTTTTGCTTACACAATAGCAGATTAGACTAGGATTCTGTTGTTATGGCATTAACTTATTATTGACGCAAGAATAGGATGTTTTCATTTCATTTTGACAAAGTTTGGTTTGTTTTCCCTTCATTTGAGTTTTCTCAAGATATTTGTCTGGTATCGTAAAATCTCGGTCTCTATGAAGAACGAAAATAGGCGAAAAAGGCATTGTGTTTCACTGACAGGAGATAATATAGTTGTGGCTACGGAATTCCGATTCCAGTAATTTGATCATGGAGACCCGGACCTATGGTTTTGTCAATTGTATTATTACTTCATAAAGCATAACATTAAACGTGACTTCACCACTGAGATCAATAATCTGTGTGTGACGCTTCTTCTGAAGGTTGT